TGTTTACACCATAATTAACCAAGCGTGATTGAGCACCAAGGTAGACATGTCTTCCTCCCTGCCAAAGGGAGATGCCCTTCCGAAGGGACAACCACCTGCCGAAGCTCCGAACTGCCAAACCTAAAACACAGGAGACACGTGTCATCATCACAGCAACTTGCACAAAGTCCCACATCGGAACTTTGTGCAAACCTCCTACCTTTACTTCCCTATAAATAGGAACAGTAACCAAGAAAATGGTAACTTCTCTCTCCCACTATTACTGCTACTTTGCAATAGTCACTCACCCTAGCTGACTCAGGCATCGGAGAGCCTTCGGCCGGCACCACACCGGTGTCCGAAGCTTACGATTGCTTCTCCTATCTTTGTCTTTTGCAGGCTAGCCCCCTACCGAAGGCCCAGGCCCTTCTCTCGCTAAAGACAACCCCCCTCTCTCTAAGTTGACCCTCCCCGAAAAGGAGCATCAACAACTTAAACATTACTTAGCTAGCTAATAAAATATTCAAATTCAATTATTCAACATGATGAAGATGATGAAAGTTGTCCCTGTGATGATAGAATAAATAACGATTTTAAAGATCTCCAAAAGTTTTACATCTTCACAATAGTAATTTAACCTTGTTCAATTACATCTACAATGAAACAGAGCATTCCCTAATACAAACCTTATCCAATTATAATCTAATAATAGTACAAAAATGCCCAGACATAAGCACTTTGAGAATATAAAGCAAAACCTTCTCATTTCACTGTATTTGATTTGCAGGCTGTGAAAAGAAATCTTTGGCATTGCGTGCTACCTCCGCTTCAAGTATCGCTTCCAACACAATGTCTGATCCTTCAACATTATCTGTCATCACAACCATGGGTTATTTATTTGGACAAAAAAATCTCAGATGTAAAGCTCAACTACTTGCAAAATCTATTAAGAAAAAGAATGGCATGTTCAACTTATAGGTTGAAACAACTTCTTATATTTGTGTGCTTGTCAAACAAAGGATCTTGCATAAAGAATTTAATGTGCAAATTTTACATGCTATGTAATCAAGGAGAAGGTACGTACAGTAAAAGTTCAAGATTATTTCTATGGTATGTGTTTAACCCAACAGCCCACTTATTGTGACCTCGCAATCCCAAATACACCCACCACAACCAACCAAAATCAATTCCATATTGGAGTAATCATACACATTTAGGCCATGAGCATGAGTGACATCTTTGTTGGCCAACCATACAAAGGCATAAGTAAGACAATTATTCATAGAAACCATAGGATTTGCAGCACACACCATGATGACATCTATTATTGAAGATAATCTGGACAATGTAGAAAAGTATATAGTTTAGAAACGAAAATTTCAAAATTTGTTGTTTCTAAAGATATTAGAAAGGGAATTTCCATTCCAGACTGCTCCCTGTGGTATGTGTTCAGATTAGAACCACAAGTCATTGATATCATAAATTTTAAGTGTTATAATTCAGAAGACTATTACCCTTGGGATTTGGTAGCATCCCAGTGCTTTCAGCTGAAACTGGGAGAACAGCAAAAAGACCACTTTCATCGCTAAGGTTCTCTTTCTCTGCACTTCTCTTCAAAGAGCCAGTCTTCACGGCATCAGATTCAGCCAATCTTTCATAAGCAGTTGCTTGGCTATGCAAATTAACTGACTCTGGGGTTCTATCCTGCCAATGATATATACAAGCAATGTAACATTATGCAAAGTGGGCTATTTATAACAAGACATTGTAATATTAAAACCTTCAGCACAGTACTTGTTGACTTCAGCTCTTCCTTGGGCTTCTCAAATGACCTATTGGCCCCTAACAAGAAAACACATAAACTGGCAATCATTTGAGAAGCAAAAACATTACTTGGCAACAATGCATGGCTGCTAAGAATAGTGCCATTACCTGTAGGAGCCAGGTCTTGAGGATTGTCCATCAGCTTCCGAGTCAGAGGACCAGGATTCATAAGTGATATGCTTCGAACTTCATATCGAATAGACTCTAATTGTGCCAGTGCATCTTGAAGTTCTTTATGAACCTAAAAGATCATGCAATGGACATAAATTATTTAACACAAAAGGGTTTTTGGTTCAATGGCATGTTAGCTGATGACAGTTATCAATTTGTCAATCTTTTAATTCATTTATAAGGAGTTTTAGTTTTTAGAAAGAAGAATCTGACGAGCTTGAGATTGCTGCATAACATTTTCGAATTGGCCACGAGCTAACTGAACATACCCGATTGCCCGACCCGCTAGCCGCCCTGCTGTTCTAGCAATTCTAGGCAAATCCTTCGGTCCTGCAAGCAACCCATTACACACCAAACCAACTTCGCATTTTCAGTTTCTGTCTCCAATAAAATTACCCAATGATTAAACCCACAATCTCAGATAACCCAGAAAGACTTTGACTTCCCTAAAACAAAATCAGAACCAAATTTGAAAATGAAGATGCTTTAGAGCCCAACTTTCTCACATGAGCCGATACAACATGCGAGAGAATTCAGAAAAAAAAAAAACGTTTGAGAGAAATGTTGGACTGTAAAGCAGATTTCTTTTGAATTGACAAATAAAAGTAGAGAGAGAGAGTACCGAATAGAGCAGCTGTGGCTCCGATCAAGAGGAAGAGCTCTACGTACGAAATACCCAACATTTTGGGCCTTGGACTTGACCAGGGGTGAGCTTAGGCTTTTGTTGGCGCTTTCATAAAGAACCGTTTGCTCTTTTCCTTTTTCTTTATTTTTTTATTTTATTGAGCATTTTTGTTTTCACAAAGCGATATACTTCTTTTTGTTTTTATAGAAAAATGAAACAAAGGAAATGGTAATTTCTTGAGGTAATTTTCTGACTGCATACTGTGGTGATGTATAATTGCTTGAGGAACCAAAGTGGTCGCTAAATATGGTTAAAATAGTTCTATTTTAACTATTATAGCTGCCAACGAGATCTAATTAAGTTGAAAGGGTCTTAAGTTTTAGTCCCACACCTTGACAGTGTGAGAGAAAACTCGCTCCGCCAATATCACTGGTATCAAAATATAAAATCAAACTATTATAGCCAATTGTTAATTAGCATATTAATTACCACATTACTTTCCATAACAGAATTAGTGGCAGTGCATGGGTGGCTGCATAACTGGAGCCCAAACCCAATTAAATATGGGTTTTGGGCCTTTCAGTTTTGTATAAGCTTTGTATTGGGACTCCTTTGCCTTGGACTCTGGCTCATTCGCTGTATTTTGTTATTTTCTTGTAATGTAGTTTGATGTCTATATCGTTAAAAGATAAAGAGAGCATCTTTCACATGATTTCGTCTGGGTAAATGACAACCTCCGGAATATCTCCTTCGATGGCAATAGTCCTACATCAGAAGGATTTTGGACAAAGGAAGATTGGTGGGGACTTTAATAAAGGTCAGTGTCAATCCATATAGTAGAAGGAGAGAAGGGTCCATGAGATACTCCAACCCCTCAATGTCACACTCAACAAGTCCTCAAGCTCCTCAATGTCGATGTAAAAGGTGCTTCTATGCCAATCCGGATCTTTTTAATACAAAGGGTATTTAACCCATTACGGTTGTTTTTTATTTTATATTTTTAATATAAATGATAGTCTAAATTAAAAGAGGGAGATAGTTTCTCACACACACACACACAATCAAGGTGCCTTGAGGGTTCGAACCTGAGACCATTAATCTACAAGTCAAAATTCTTTTTCACTGGATTAGACATTGTTGATCCATTACAATGCTTTTATCTATATACACAAAAATGGCACAACCAATCCTAAGTGTAAAAAACAAATAGCGCATGGAGGCCTCTTTATTTGTTAATGTTTGGTGGAATAGGTGAAAGTGGAGAAAAAAGAAAGCTTTTGAATGAACCATCCTCTTAACCATAGCCACTTGTTCCATGGTATGTAAGCATGAACCATACGATACTAAAGCAAGACAAGCAAAAAAGGACAGTAATAAATGTTTTGGTTGGTTAGCTTACGTTTGATAAAGGGCCAAAAAACATAATATCTAATCCCATGGACTGGAAAAGGTTCATTAGAAAAACAAAAGACTTGGGGACGGCTTATACATACACCCAAATAGTCAAGTTTGTTTGTTTTCTGAAAAAGAAAAGCTAGACTTTACCTCTTATCGTATTGTTTGCCTTTTTTGGAACACTCTGTTTGTGATCAGAAAACCAAATGCATGCCCATCAACTTGAACCAAACACAGATTTGATTTGCTCTCTTAAAAAGGCCTTGATGTCATTTATAACTACCAAATCTTATGTGACGAAACATTTTGTTTTGCATTTTTAGGCTGCAAAGATACGTTTAAAATTGTTTTTGCAAAATTTAACAAATTATTGTGTAGTTTTAAAATTGATTTGTATGGTCGAGACGATGACGAGAATTTGAATACGGTTTGTATGATCAGTCAACCGTCAAAGGGTGGTTTCGTCCGAGAACAGAGTCCCACCCCAGAAGAATAGATCCGCAGGTTCAGAAATCCTGTGGTCCAAGCAGCAGAAACCTTTTCTTGCGTGTCAAGTCCCCAATTCACCCCTAACAAACAGCACCATATGAACCCTAAACATAAACGCAACCCACAGCCCAAACTGCTTTTTCTCTCCCAACAAACACGACTGCCCCAATACAAATCCCTAATAATCCAATCCCCAAAATTAACAATCACACAAAAACGAAAATACTAATAAAATATTGAATAAACATAAACAACTCACCGCCCCTGGCTTTTCTCACGCCAAGTTCTTCACTTCCCATTAAAATTCTCAATGATACAAACTAAATTGTATTATAATTGAGATTAGGAGTTGTTGGTTTTGTTGAAAATTGAGTGTGAGGGATGTGAGTGAGATTGGGTTTCGGGGATGGTCAGATATGGCTCGAGACGGGGAAGTGGTGCCGGTGGACCCACAAGCGGTGGTGGCCGTGAAGAAGAAGTCGTCTCGGAGTTGGGTTTTGCTGGACTGTACGGGAAAAGCTACAGTCTTGGACGTGGACAAGTATGCCATCATGCACAGAGTACACATTCACGCTCGCGATCTTCGCATTGTCGATCCTTTGCTTTCTTACCCTTCCACCATTCTCGGCCGCGACAGGGCTATAGTTCTCAATTTGGAGGTGCTCTTCTCTTTTCAATTTTCAATTTTGTTGTTTTGCTTTTTTAAAGTTTTTTGGCTGTTGTGTTTTTGTTGTTGCTGTTAATTGAATTGGGTTTGTTTGTCTCTGGGTGTGCAGCATATTAAAGCAATAATCACTGCTGAAGAGGTTAGCCTCTCTCTGTTTCTCTAAATAAATTTGTTTTCTTCGTCTGCTGAATTGATTTTGTTTTGGGTTTTTTGAGGAGTAGAGAACTGAATAGCCATCAGTATTTTTATTCTTTTTCAATTTTGTTGCGTAGTTAAAGATTGCTGATTTAAGAGACGAAGTAGTACATGTATTTTAAGAGACGAGTACATAATGGTCAACCCGGGTATTAATTGGTTTTTTTTTTGGTGGGGGGAAATTAAGCGAGAGGAGCAACTAAATAGATGGTGCAAATTCAGGACATTGAAAATCAAACCTGTATTATGTCCTGGTGTTCTAGAGAGGAAAAAAATGTGGTGCTTTCAACTTTCTATGAGTTGGGGTTCTTTTGCAGATGGTGATTGTTAGTTTGTTATGGGATAGGTGCTGCTTCGGGATCCAGTGGATGAAAATGTTATCCCTGTTGTTGAAGAGCTTCAAAGACGGTTGCCTCCTGTAAATGCCATACATGAAAACCAAAAAGATTAGATGCCGGTGAAGAAGATGGTATGACTTAGTAATTTCAAAGTTTATCATTGATGAGTTGTGTCTGTCTTTAGTATTCTTGGAAATATACAAATGTTTACATCTACCACTAACATCTTAAACATCAAAACTTCTGAGTTCTGGTTTTATTCTTTGACTTCTGAGTGATCTAGATTATGCAATGTAGAGTCTCCATTTGAGTTCCGGGCCTTGGAGGTAGCTTTGGAAGCAATTTGCAGTTATCTTTCTGCACGTACTACAGAACTGGAGACTGCTGCTTATCCTGCTTTAGATGAGCTTACCTCAAAGGTAGGACTTGTGTTTTCTCTCATTTTCTTTGCGTCTTTGTATAGGCTCTATGGTTGTTGCTTGTCTCCACCTCTTGGGGAAGCTAAATGGAAAAATAATAAATAAAGAAAGGGAACAGGAATATAGTATTTCCATTCACTGGTTTGGTTTGATTTAGGTAACTCACTGATAGTAGTTTTAGGTTCTCAGTTGTCAGCATGCTAAAATTCTGCTTAGAGCACTACATGATGAAGTCTAGGGATAATTGTCTGCCATTTTGTGTGAAATTGTGTCATAGAAGAGATTCTAGATATCAGGGTTCAGAGAAATTTTGGCTTGCATACTTGCCTGCATGGTTTTCTAAGCTTAGCATCTGTAACCAGGATAGAATGGCTTCTTATGCCTACTTTTGGACAATATTTTGATCCAATGCAACCTGCAGATTAGCAGCCGCAATTTGGACAGGGTTCGTAAATTGAAGAGTGCAATGACAAGGTTGACTGCTCGCGTACAAAAGGTATATGATCTTCCTGTAGGGTGTGAATAATTACATAGTAGTTCATGTGTCTTATGAGGGTTAGTGAACTTTAATGCAATCACTGAAAGATGCTATTTGCATCACATTAGTGTGTGTTGAATATGAGAGAGTAGTTATACTCAATGCCACCCACTGTCCTCATTCTATTTTCTAAGCATTACGTTATAAGATAAGATGTTTGATTCATGAAGGTAACATTGCTAGATGCATTTGAGCACTCATACATGTATTTAATATTTAAGTTCCTTGGTCAATTGTTAGATGAGAAATGAATGGTTGAGGTGCATCAACTGTACTTCTCAGTCATCCATATCTGACAATTAGATGTTTTGTGGCAAAGTTAAGTTGTTAGTATAGCTTTTTCTAAAGTTCTGATAACAATAAGTCATTTTTTGTTTGGGTTATTAAAAAGGACATGGATGAAATTTAGTTAAAATTTAACAGTAACTCTGTAAATTAATACATTTTAAATAGAAACTTCCAGCACAATCTTTTTTAAAATATATTTTTTCAATGAAAACTAGAAACAGCTTCAAATTGTAGCCTTTCAAATATGCATATTTCAGCTTCTGTGGGGGCACACAATTACTTCTAAGAGTAAACGCCTAAAACACTGGCTTCACAGAAGCCCTCTCTGGGTGCCCCAAGAGCTGTGCTGTGTGGGCGCTAAAGCTAGCAATTAGGTTTTCTTCATACTTGCAGTCTAAATTAGTATCATTATGAATGCACTTTCTTTTTATGTCTGTAAGCCACATTCTTCTGCTGTGTATCTCATATTGAATTTGCAGCCTTATGGTATACAAATTTGTGGTATGGAGTTGAGATGAGACAAACTTTCCCAGTCAGAGTTTGATTAAAGAAAACATATTAGTTTCCTCTTTACTACTGTAAATCATGGTAATAAGTAATCCTGTATTACTTATTGCAGGTAAGGGATGAGCTTGAACAGCTGTTGGATGATGACGATGATATGGCTGACCTTTACTTGTCAAGAAAGTTGGCTGGTGCATCTTCACCAGTTAGTGTCTCTGGTCCTCCCAATTGGTATCCTGCCTCCCCTACCATAGGCTCAAAAATATCTCGGGCAAGTAGAGCAAGCATCGCCACTGTTCGTGGAGATGAGAATGACGTTGAGGAACTTGAAATGTTACTTGAGGTATAACATTGGCATACTTTTTCTGTGTCTCATTTTAATGAAGCTGTGTATGTACTAATCTGCTAATAATACCTTTGCAGGCTTATTTTATGCAGATTGATGGCACCTTGAACAAATTAGCTACGGTATGTGCTGTTTTAGATGCATACTTATTTTTCTTTCTAGCTTACAAGGAGAATTGAATCTAGGACCTAGCCTATCTCACCCTATCCCTCCCTCCAACACTCTTGGACCCTATGCACACCTGTTAAGGTCCAAGGACATTTGAATCTGAAGTATTGTTTTTTTTTTTTTTGGGAGAGAGGGGGGGTGGGATAGGCGGAAGTAAGAACCACCAAAAGATTTTAAACGGTACATGTCAATGGAGTAAGCTGGTCCTTCAACACATCCAGCGAAGCCATTATACATATTACCTTTAACAGAATCCCAAGTCCCAAGATTGTGACTTCTGGAATACCCGTGATTTCTAGGTCAGCTTAGAACCAATAAAAAACAGAGGTATGAATCATCATGACTTTGACTGATCAAAGCAGAATTATAATGACCCTGAGAACCTGCAAGTGAGGGTGTACAGAGTGGTCTTCTATATACACTATTAAGGAAGGGACATAGGAATTTTGTGCAAAGATCTGAGTTTTAGAAGACTAAAGAGAAGGATAAAGACTTTAAAGAAACTTGGAAACATGAACCTCATCTTATTATGTCTTCAACACCTTAATGTGATAGGAAGGGGATGATATTGAGTGAACGCATAAAAAATTCCCTTAAATGCATGTAAATAGTCCAACAAGAATTTTCCACGTGTGTCAATAGAAAAGGACTTTCATAGACCTACAGTTATTTGCGTGGAATACATTTAGACATATTTTCCACATTATTTACACTATATACTAAACAACTTTGACTGTTAAAATATGATATTTTGCAGCTGCGTGAATATATTGATGATACAGAGGATTATATCAATATTCAGGTACTTGATTCATCAATCTTAAATTTTTATGGCAACATACTAAAGTTTTCTGATATAACTTGTGCTTCCATATTTCAGCTTGATAACCACAGGAATCAGCTGATTCAGGTGCTTTTTTCATCCTATGCAGTATATCTGATTACCATGCTGGATTATTTTCTTTTATTTAAATTTTCCTTTCTAAATCTGGAGTATCTGTATTCTGTATTGTGTAAGACGTGCTTTTTATTTTCTTCACGTTTCATGGTGCAGCTTGAGCTTTTTCTCAGTGCTGGGACTCTATGTATGGCCATATTTTCATTGGTGGCTGGAATTTTTGGCATGAATATCCCTTATACGTGGAATAATGGTTACGGATACATGTTCAAATGGGTATGCAAAGCATTTCTGCTGGCAATCTTGTCTAGTATGTCTTTAATGAACATGTCTGAGATTGAATCTTTTTGAATTGACAGGTTTGCATTGTCACGGGAATAGTCTGTGCTTGTGTGTTCATAATTATCATGTCATATGCTCGCTTCAAGGGGTTGGTCGGGTCGTGAACTTTATGAAGGAATTCTGAGATTGACCTTTTGGATCGTCTGAGAAATAGTGTCAAGGGTTTTTAGCAAATATGTGAAGGAATTTTGATAATTCTTTTGCCCTTAAAGACTGTCGATGATGGCTGTTAGGGTTGAAGAGGGAAAAGTCTCACTGTGGGAAATTTTAAATCGGATCAGATCTGGCAGCAGCCTTTCTAATCCAAGGATATTGCAAAGTTTTATAATTGTGAACAACTTGATTAACTGGATTCAGTCACCAACAGACTGTAAAACCAATTACAGAATGAATACATATTTCTTGGTTTTAGTTCATAATTCTGGTTCTGTTACACACAAGTATTCAATCAAACATACAATACTGTACCTGTACTCAGAATTTAATGCATTCTTCAAATTGCTCATTTGTTTATGCCTATGATCTGTTTTCCGAATGCCTTTTTTGCTTGTATCAATCTTGAAGTCCTTGGATGGTTTAGAAGCTGGTGATGATGGTTTACTCCTTGGTGACTTCTAATTATTAGTTGAACTGAATGATGGTTAAGAGGTGCAATTTTCGAGCTAAAACCAGTGAAGAAACCAAATCAATGTGCAGTTTAGGCGTTGTTATTTATTGCTTTACACTACCAAGGTTCAGAACCATACTCATCATGTCCATAAAGTCAGGCCAGTTGGTCTTTGGACACTTGAAAAAATCAGTAATTAAATTGATTAGAGGTGTAGTTGATTCAATTTCAAATTTAATTATTGATTTCAAATTCATGACTTCCAAGTTACTAAACATATTAACATACTATTAAACTTTATAACAATGTTCATACTTTTTTCATTTAACAATTATCCATCATGAAATTTGAACTCAAAGACTTCATCCAATAGGTTGAAGACTAACTGCCACTAGAACAAATGGTTATTGTCCCAAACAAGTCATTATAGACACAAGTACAAGATCGACACACCAAAACGACTAGTAAATGATATTCTTTTAATAATAATACCACTTTTTTTCATTCAAGTTATGACGTCCACAAAATCTACATTGTCGATTGACAGTGATGAGAGGAGTAATTTTTTGTATGTTCTAGGTGTACCATCCAACACATGAGACATGTGGAAATATTTTCCAATACACATAGAACTTAAAAATAAAATATTTCCATATGTCCCATGTGTATTGGATGGTACTAGAACATACAAAAATTTATCCGATGAGAGTTAGTTAGCAGAATCGACGAAAAACCAGAGGTATTGCTATGGTTTTAATTAATAGCTTTATTAGTTATCAAAACAGTTATACGTAGTATCACTGAATGTAACACTATGTCAGAGTCAGAAAACGCTTATATACATACCACAAGAAAGAAAATCCAAAAAAGAGAACAAA